AGATGTGATTCTGATGGGCAAACAGGATGAATGAATAAAGAAAATGTGTTCAGAATAAACCTGACACAATTAACGTTATCTTAAACAGAATCAAATCCAACAAGTGAGATCTCCACAAGCGAATCGACATCAGTCAACACAGCAGGGACATCCATAAGCTCAAAATCTACCCTGACATCCACTCAGCCATCAACATCAGAAGGTAAATTGCAGACAAAATGACTTAATATATCCACATATCCAAGCAATATTATTCTCTGAGATACTGGTAATAATCATGAAAGGTGTTTACCTGCAATTTATCTGGCCACAAATTAAAAGGATTCTGTAACTAATTTATTTGAAACAATTAAATTTCAAGGAGTTGGGGTCTCTGAAGCATAGCCAATGTTTAATAGAGCAAGTAATGGGAGCCAATTTATGATCAGCAAGATCACTGTGAAAACAAGGAGGAATTAGCGAGAATGGGTAACCTCTCTTGATGAGGATATTTCGGGCTAAAGATTAGCCCAGGAACTGTTGAGGCTACAACTCGTTTTGGTCCAATAACACAATTCGATTCACTCCCCCAGCGTGAGACCACAGAAGCACTCACAAAGTAGTGTCACATCAGAGAGTCAATACTTATGATGGTGTAGCAATCCCTCTAGTCTGGATCTGATGTCGGTGACGCTGGGGTAGACTTGATGAGTGTCTGACTGAGTTCCAGACTTTGAACCACTGAGCACACAGATAATCCCAATGTATCATTTTGATTAGGGAGGACAGAAATATATTTACCTGCCCCTTTCGACTTGGAGCAAACATTTCATCAGAAGTCACTGTGTCATAGCATGGGGGATTACTTATTGATATACATTTGGAAGACTTAAGAAGGAAGTGTAAACCTGAACTAACTGATCTGATATTGAACAGGAATATCGACGACACGAGAGGCATCAACATTAACCAGCAGTCCACACGTTTCAACCACTTCTGCAGAGACGTCAACAACAGGAGGTAAAAGGGAGACATTGTGACGTATTGGGCTGGATACTTAAATGTCAATGTGGGAAGAACGAATTTGAGAATTTTGTTCTGGGAGGGCGGTTCTGAACATGGCAACCGCGGAAAAACTTGTAGATTTCAAATGGTCCGCAGGGAGAGTGGAGTGGAAAATGTCTTTTCCCCAATTTATGGTTCTGATATCTTCAATGAGCTTGTCAGTTTCCCTGTCTGACACACAGTGACAGTTTCCGATTTGTTGCCAGAGAAAACATAACACACGGGTGCCTTCTCGTGCACAGCTGTCCGGCTTAATACAGAACGCAAGAGCATACGTGTTAGCAGCAGGATGAGGCCATTCAGCCAATCACACCCATTCCATCAGAAATGAGACTGTGTCATCTTTCTTCACCGTACTGAAAAGATTCAGTGACTGAGTGTGCTGCGCCGAGTCACATTATGTACACCAAAGATTCAACATATTCTGACGACAAATGTCTTTGTCCACAATTTGGAGAGAACGTTCCCGTGTCCCTGACCCCAGTGCTTTGGATAATCATTTCAATGTTGATCCAATGGAATGTATCTATGTTAGAATGAACAAACAGGACTTTTCTGAAAGATGACGTGTGGCAGTCTAGTCCTCCCTCGGCTAACCTACTGTGCAGCCTGGATTTGTTGAAGCACACAGTGGGGCTTCAATTTCAGTCTGGGGAATTGCAACAGACGCACAATTCCCTTTCCACTTGCAACAAACAGAAATTTACATCAAACCGTAGAGTTGACTTAGATGTGATTCTGATGGGCAAACAGGATGAATGAATAAAGAAAATGTGTTCAGAATAAACCTGACACAATTAACGTTATCTTAAACAGAATCAAATCCAACAAGTGAGATCTCCACAAGCGAATCGACATCAGTCAACACAGCAGGGACATCCATAAGCTCAAAATCTACCCTGACATCCACTCAGCCATCAACATCAGAAGGTAAATTGCAGACAAAATGACTTAATATATCCACATATCCAAGCAATATTATTCTCTGAGATACTGGTAATAATCATGAAAGGTGTTTACCTGCAATTTATCTGGCCACAAATTAAAAGGATTCTGTAACTAATTTATTTGAAACAATTAAATTTCAAGGAGTTGGGGTCTCTGAAGCATAGCCAATGTTTAATAGAGCAAGTAATGGGAGCCAATTTATGATCAGCAAGATCACTGTGAAAACAAGGAGGAATTAGCGAGAATGGGTAACCTCTCTTGATGAGGATATTTCGGGCTAAAGATTAGCCCAGGAACTGTTGAGGCT